TGATCTGTGAGTTGAGAAGAGGAACATGGTGTCACGTGAAGTGAATATATTTTAGTTATTCTACTGCGCATGTGCGTTGGGCAGACCCCCGGGGTTTCTAGACAGAAAAGAAGCAAGGCACTTCCTGTCTCATGTTGTACCCAATAAAGAGTGTTCCATCGTTAACCGACCTGACTGTCGGAGTGATTTGCCGCCATAGATAAACGTCACACTCAGGTTTATCATTATTCTCCCAGGTGTCTTGCCAGTGGAAACGCCCTCCATGGTCCGGTAGGGTTAGCCATGTGTTTGGATAGGAAAAATCGGTCACTGCGACTTCCCAGTCGCCTTTTAAATCTATAGACTGTGCTAGATTAGTTCTGAATTGCGAGGCTGTATTATCTTTAAACACATCAGTGCTGGCGTTGGATGGGAGAGTGAGGTAGAACCCTGAGCCATCCATTTTTTCATGCTTGTATCACGTCAGCTGCTCGGACATAACTGTTAAACTTATCGGGCCAGTTTCGCCATTTAACAAGAAAATATTTCACTCCTCGTATGGTGCGTTTACTCAAGATCTTTTCAATAGGAAATGCTTTGTCTTCAGGGATGATGACACGCTGGAGTTCTGACTCGTAAAACGCTCCCTCCACGAGCTCGTTATCGTAATCACAGATTTTATAGACAGGGGGGATCCTGGGGATGCACTCTGTTATTTTAAATACTTCATTTGTAAATCCCTGTTCATATTTCTTATCAAATACTCCTCTCAGTTTGGATATTCTGACCAAATCGCCAACCTTGAAATTCATCTTTAACTTATCTTGATGACGTAGGGGAAAGGTGCCGTAAAGATTCTGAAAAACGGTCAATGAATTTTCTGAATTGACTTGCGCAGGGGCCATTTTAATGCTACTATGGTAACTGTTGTTGTAACTCTCTACGATCGCTGGTAAAACATCAACAAACCTCAGTGTGTTTTTGGCTGTAAAATAACGGTATATTTTATTTTTTAAAGTTTTGTTGTATCTTTCAACTACAGACGCTTTGACGTCACTGGATGTGCTAAAATGCTCTATATTGTGTTTTTTCATGAGAGCATTAAAAAGCTTGTTGTAAAATTCTTTTCCTTGGTCAGTTTGAAGTCGCTTGGGTGCACCGCTTTCATCTAGAACAGAGGCGAAAGCAGCGCTTACCTCTTTAGCAGATTTACTTTTGATAGGTCTGACAAACGCCTTTTTTGAGAAAACATCGATTACGGTGAGTAGGAACCGAAAGCCATCATTGTAAGAGCCCACGGCTTGCATATCGCATAAGTCCGCTTGGAACTGGTTAAGAGGTCTTGATACAAACACTCTGTTCCTAGGGAAATTTATCTTCACCGGTTTGTGCAAGGTGTAAGCATCTTGTTTTGATAGAAACTCTTTGACATGAGCCACGCTTATTTTCTTACCAGTATGTTTTTCAACCGCTCTATGGAGCGCATGTACTCCTTGATAACTACCAGGGTGGGCTGGGTTATAATATATTTTCTTCAATAAAGTCTCAAGTTTAGGAGCCATGTTTACTGTACAGCATAACTCTCTTTTCTGAACCATTATTGAGCAAGTGAGTGATGTATAAATGAGAAAGTAACATAGAGATTACAACATCTTTATTTAACACAAGTTTTTAAAGAAGCAGTAATACAAATGTTTTTAAAAGCAATGAAGATGTATACCAGAAAAAAGTAACACTTTAGAATGAAAAAGCATTATACAAATACTAAATGTTTTTAAGATGAAACTAATGCTAGATAACACACAGTTAACAAATGTTTTTAAAAGCAATGAAGATGTATACCAGAAAAAAATAACACTTTAGAATGAAGAAAACATTATACA